TCTCTGCAATGTTACCTGTATCAAAAATTGCTGCTCTGAGGACTCATAAATTAGTTGCCATCAGATAGAACAAATGTCTGAATCCATTATGTGACAGGTAGAGAGAAATCAGCAGTGGAACAGGAATGCACAGCATAAGTCATCAAAGATGAGATGCATGACAGAAAATGCATGAGATCCAAGAATCACATATCATGCCATGTTTTAGGTTATATTTGTCTTGAGATAAGAATTTCTAGGATTATTCTAAATTATCCCACATTGGCACAGATGAAATAGGATTTAGATAGATGGTCTAAAACTCTCCTTTAGTATTTGAAGTAAGACAAATCACACTAAAATGAATACTAATTCCAAAGTTGGTTTATATTTTGAGAGGCCTTGTTCTGATAATTTTTAAGCAAATTATCAGAAACTGAATATATTTACTGGTAAGGATTTCTTGCAAGATGTAATTTTCATTCTGTTAATTACAAATACCTGTTTAAAAAGGTGGATGTAACTTTCATATTTATAATTGGCCATATCCTACACTTTCAGATTTTTCATTAGGCATTTATCCAGCTTTGGTTACTATTTGGAATAAGGAATTTCAGAATTAACTCCTCTTTGGGGTCTATTTCAAAACTGTTATCTGTACCCAAATAATATCGGAAGTAATACTGGGAATTTTGGAAGTATAACTTCAACCTGCTTTCTGCAGGATTAGTTTCAATGCCACTATAGTATTTATGAAAACACTTTACCCAATACTTTACTTTAGCTATTTACTTAAGAAAAGCATATATTATCATCCAGTTTAAAAGGAGTGGTAAAATCAGGTTTTGGGAAGGCAGTGAATAACCCGTCCTCTCATAACATAATTACATTGGGTCAACTTAGCTCTGCAGAAATTGAATTTAAAACTTTTGCAGAATGGTCAAATGAGTTTGATTTACCTCTGGGCTATATATTCTACTTAAGCATATCTAATTTATTTTTCTTTGTCCAGATGCAACTGCTGTTCTACCTCCATTGTAGAGAGAAATTCCGGTGGAATTATTTCTACTTCCTAAGCCATTCTTTCTATGAAACTGAAATTGAGGAAATTAATATTAGCTATTCATTTTATAACAAGGTCAACAGGACAAGTGAAAAATCAATACACAACATGAAATCAATTTTTTATGACATTAAAATGAGGTTAATACAATTAAAAGTTTACTTCATATATACTGGACACTTCGGAGGATATTTAATAAGAGTTGGTTGTAATCACCCTGCTGTTAGAAATGTTACCCTGGAACTGGAACATTGTCCTATATGGTTTGGTCATTTCTTATTACTGTTGCATCAGGGGCTGAGACTAATTGGATTATTGGACTGTGATTCTGGATCAACTGTTCTGCATTAAGTCTGCATATCTTCTTAGCTACCACCACAGTATATGGAATTTATCAACATATCTACAACTGCAATTTTTCAGGCCAGAGGGTTGGGTAAAACAATTATTATACAAATCTGGAAAGATAGCTTTGCACCTGATTTTCAGCAATGGATGTTGATATGTGTTGTTGGTTAAGATCTGAATTAATCCTTTTAAAAACAAAAAACAAAAGGAGAAAGAAAATGACTTTCAAACAATGTGACTGGTGACTAAAGTTCTATTTATAACAATTTCCAGGTCTTCTCCTTCCTCCTCCTTTCTTTTTTCTCCTTAATGGCTAAGCTTATGAATTTTGTGGCTTGTTAATCTTTTAATGTTGTTCTATGCATTTCTACTCTTATTAGTTTTCATGATAAAATTATCATGCAAACTAATAAAATTTAAATATAGTTATGTCCCATACCTTACTCCTACTTGTTCACCTTTTGACACCTCACTGCCCACTCAAATGCAATAATGAAGACATCACTGTTCAACAGATGAGGCTGACATGCAGCTGTCTCTTCTAATGGCATTGTCTGTGATGGGTTAGAAGAGGACACTTAGATGTGACAATCAACAGGTCATCATCTTTGGGAATGATGATAGAATTAAGGGGAAGTGGAGAAATTCTGCTACTACAATTCCACTTTCCATCAGCGTCCACTGGCTGTGATGGTCACCACCTATACTTTATGCTTTACCTAATGATAAAAGTTAAAGATATCCCACATTTATCTTTAAGAAGTAGTTTCTTATGAGATATTTCATGGGCTGAATGGAATAGAACAATTAATTACTAAGAATATAGTTCCTTTTGTTTCTGGGTAAAAGCAAAAAAAAACTTTTTATACAAATTTATATCTGGTTCTTTTTCCTAGATTTTTTTTTAAACGTTATTTTAATGGATTTTAAAAAGTTTTTTTCCACCCTTATGGTAGTGATTAAATTTATTCTCTCTTACAATAAACAAATTACTACTGGTATAGTTATCAACCTTTCATTGCTTATCACTAACTGAGATTAGTAACAATTCTGGATGTTCAGACAGAAAAGCCGAAGACAGCCCGGAAGTTATTTTCCTTTCCCCTTCAATTAATTCAAAATAGCTACATTAAGACATGGATACTGAAGAAAAACTTTTGTGGCCAAATGACATGTGCATAATTGTAGAATTGTGTAATTGGGAACTATGGGATATCTTGTGCCAGCAAATAAAAGGAGAATAGGCAAAGCAAGCACTAATGCGGAGCATTCCATTCCATGAAATTGCAAGTAGTAGTAATGTTATCTAAAAATAATTCAGTAGCTGTTGTGCCGGTCTTTCACAAGACTTCTTATTTGCTGAGAAGGAAGGTGGAGATTGGTTTTTATAGAAGAATTTAAAGGGAAATATCTAAGATTCAAATTATTTTCTTCTATTATTACTGATATCTCAAGCCTTTACAGATATTGTAAGATGGAAAAGGTGACTAAAGGCTGTCAACAGGCTGTACTGGTGACAAATATTGAGTCAACAACTATGGGCTTATGCTGTGCTAATCAGATAATTCTCCTTTAATACTACCTTCTAGCATGTAAAGGTATCCAATAGTAAATAATATATGTACCTCTGGGAGGAACTGTTGAGTTCTTGGTGATCTCAAAGCTTGGTTATTTTCCAGCCAAGCTCAGAGAACACCAAGAACCCAATTCATAAAGGTGTGTGCATGGAATTCCCCCTCAAAAGTTATACATTGGGTACCAACAGTTTTATCTCAGTGACCATTACTTAAATATAAATATCTCTTCAGAAACAGGATATAGAACAATATTTGGTTCCATTCAAGCATTCCCCCTATATATGTATGTTGAGAAGAATCACTCTCAACATCCTGGCATGATACCATTAGCCATGCTTCTTGCTATCCACACACAGAGCAGGCAGCTACATAAGGAAAACTTTGCAGACTTCTGTGCTAAATGCTAACATAGACTCATTGCTACATAAACTGTAGATAGGGTCAGCAGCAGAGTCCCACTGCTTTATTCTCCATTAAAAAGCTGTGCACATTTCTCCTTCCCCCCAAAAAGAATGTTCTGATATTTCTGGTGTTTAAAATGGAATATTTCTCCTATTTTATTTTTTAAACTTTCCAGTCATCCAGCGATTCAGATTTTCTGTTTAATGCAGCCGGACATTCAGAACATGCACATGGTATTCAAGTATTTTGTTTCATTGGAAAACTAAGAAGTACAGAAATTCTAAGTTAAAGTAATTATGATTATTCCAAAATTAATGAATTTTCATTATGCAGTTGAAAGAAACTTTGTTCAAAGCTAAATTACCAATATTAAGAGCTGTAATTATAAGTGTTAACTTATTTGCATGTCAGCAACAAGTACTAAATTCCAGCAAAATAGCTGTTTGAATTGTTCCATATTCAAGAGCACAAGAATCAAGATTCACAGAAAGTGAATCATCAGAGTAAGTATATGGAATTTTAAAGGTAATGACTCATTCTCTTGAGTTCTCACAATTCCTATTGATTCTCTCTCTCTCAATCAGATATTCAGATGAGTTCTTCAGGCGACTGTTTCCTAACCTGAACATTAAAATCAATAGCAGATTTTTAACTGGTTTCTGTGATGCAGCATTATAGTCACATAGAGCTGCTGGCTTTCTTGGTGTCACTACAACTCATACTTTACCAAACCTAATGGAGAATAGCAGTAATAATGTTGAATTAACTTCAGTCAGTATTACATTCATTTAGCCACAGATGGCAACTCTGAGATAGATTTCAAGAACCCCTTACTTTTTGTCAATCCCTAGTAGATGATTCAGAAAAACAAAGATTCATGAACAACTTAAAGGGAGGTCATTAAAAAAACAAACAACCCTGATTAACCTAACACAGGCAGAGCGGGAGCAGTGCCCAAACTTGCTCTGAGCTCTGCTTCTTGCTTTGTATGCACAAGCCCCAATGGGCAGCTATGATACTACAAAGTTTAACAACCTCGCTCATGTATAGATTAACATTTAAGTATTAAAAGTAAGTACTATATTTATTTCTTGTTCAATCCTAACTGTAATGAACTCATTAGTTTTAATTCAAGGGGAGAACTTTACACAAATTCCTTTATCATTTTGGGGGAGCAAGGTACTATGAAATTTGAGAACTCCTGCTCCAAAACATCCTCAAGATTACTTCATCTATAACTTCCTTAAGCATCTATACATCTGAATTATTATATGCTCAACAGAACATCTGCAAATGTAACTTTACTCTAGTCATGGTGTTCAATATACAGTTATATTTGTATCCTGCATAAGATTATGCACTGGAACTGAACAGCACTTGTACCACCCTCTCTCAACCTATTCAGATAAGCCTTTGTTATCTGCTATAGTGTCATATGTACATCACATGAAGAAAACAGCAAGGAGCACCATTAGAGGTAAGGTACAAGCTGCATATGTCCACATTATCACTGTATTCAGACACTGGGTAAATTACTGATGCTTTCTGCTGTACCAAGTTCCCACGATCATGAGAGAGGCTATCTCACACATTTGGTTGATAGAACCTCTGTCCTTACTAACCTCACTTACCTTAGCATAGCAAAAGGAGATGAGCAGCAGAGGTAGCAAATATCCGAAGATGAAGGTACAGAGCACATACACTTTCTTGTGCTGGAGATTGGGCCACACTTCCCAGCAGTAGGTCTGGTTAAGGAATTCTTGGTGGACAATGCGCTGATGGTGAGCCACAGGGGAAGCCATGGCAATAGAGAGAAGCCAGATGATCCCTACCCCCAGCAGAGCATTACGGGACACCCGCAAGGATGAGGAGCGCCGGGAATGCACAATGGCCACATAGCGGTCCACGGACATAGCTGACAGGGTGAATATGCTGACCAACATGGAGACAGTGAAGAAGTAGTGGATAAACTTGCAAATGAAGGTACCCAACGCCCAGTTGGGCAGCATGTACACAGTAGACTGGAAAGGAATGCAGAAGAGTAAGTAGGCCAAGTCAGCAATGCTCAAGTTGAGCACAAAAATGTTGGTGGTGCTGCGGGGCTTGCCTGGCTTACTCCTGGCCAGCACCGTGATGACCAAAGAGTTGCCCATCACTCCCAGGGTGAAAATGAGGCCAAAGGCAATCAAGGTGATAAAGTTCTCAATGCCAATTTCGGAGAGGAAGCTGGCCTTCTTCTCTGAGTGCCGATGAAAGGAGGACCTGGAGGCGTTGAAATCCGGCCAGGGCAAGCCCCAGGTCTGATTCATGTCGCTGGAAGCGGCAGGTGCTTCTGCGGCCATGGTCTGCGCTGCCTGGAAAATAAAACTCTAAAGGCACGGCGGTAGCCTGCCAGACCCGCTCCCGCGTCGCTCCCACCAAAGGATGCCCTTCCGAACCTGTCGGCTCTCCCTCTCTAACTCAGCGAGCAAAATCCGGAGGCTGAGCACCCTCTCCCCTTCTCGCCCGCCCCCCTTGTCCCCCGCTCAGAGGAGGAAAGGGGAAAAACAAGCCAGCGGTCCTCGCTTTTCAAAGGAGCTCCACGCGCGCCCAAGGCTGTTGCTTTCCCACAACCACGCTGTCCTTCATTTCAGTCCGTCCCTTCCCTGCTGCTCCTTAGCAATGGGAAACTTCCCGCAGCCGGAGCCCAGAGAAGGAGGGAGCAAGGCTGAGCGTGGAAAGGAAAGACTCTTGCCTTTTCTGGGGCCGAACGCCAGACCTTAGACGCCGCCCATGGGTCAGAATCCTGAGCCAAAGATTCAGAGGAATCCTCCCACCGCCTCCGGTTCACCAAAGCCGGGCGCTTTTGCTGCTCCCCTTTCCCGCCTTCCTGGCCCCCGCAGCGGAACGCGGAGCGAGCGAGCGCAAGCGGAGCTACCCGGGCACTGAGGCAGCGACTGTCCAGCAGCAGCCGGCGTGCGTTGGCTGGCGCCCTCGCTGCCTTTTCTCCTCATTTTTCCCACTTTCACGCTCCTCCCTCAGCCCGCCTGACGTGTCGCGAACTCTGGCAGCAAAATCAGGTGACGGTCCAGGTCGGCTTCCCACGTTCCCCGCACCCGCATACAGGGAGTAAAACTCCGGCCTCTGCTGTCCCTCCAGGAAACGCTGCCGCTTTCCCCGCCTGGACTCAGCCCATCCAGGGATCGGGTGGAAATGATGAGAAAGGTTCTGCCTCGTCCCTAAACGCTGTTCCTTTCCTTTCCTCCTCATTTTGGGCTGAGGTGACAGAGAGGGCACCCCGATTTAGCCAGGTATATAGTAAATTACCCCCAGGGTAATGTACTCCACCCTCTGGGTATTTTTTTTAATTATATTTCTAACCTGCTTTCCCTCTAAAGAAGCTCAGAGCTGCATATATTCTTTCCCTCCCACCATACCCTGTACAGCCCAGTAAAGTAGGCGAGGCAGAGAGAGACAGAGACAGAACAAAGCAAGCTAGGAAACGTGAAAGCCTCCTGCTTTTTTAACCCAGATTTGTAACTCTGTTTTCACAGACAAGCAAAGAAAATGCAACTTAAGCTAAGTGTTTAGCTCAAAACTAAGTTTTTTTGCTCAAAAGTTGGAATACATCATTCTAGCATACAGAAGCAAAACACATAGACCATTGCCGCATAATGGTATCATCTTCTTAATGCTTGGTTGCAATGTCAAAAAACAAAACAAAACCTTCTCTGCAGCTGACCTCACAACAGAATGGGTAGGAAAAAAGTTCCCTGTTCTGATAGCTTGTTAATGCTATTCTATGAATCTGATATTATAGTGTCAATTGTACTATATTTTCCTTTCAATCCATGCTCTGTATTGTAACCTAACATAGTATTTTATCACACTAGACTTGTGAATCTAAGAATCCTTTCATTAAAAGTAAATACATTCTTAGAAGCTTCTCTAAAGCAGCTTCATTCAGTTATTTAGAAATAAGAAATGTGAATGTAAGTGAAAATGCCTTCATCTTTTGCACCAATGTTTTCCTGCAAGCAGCTCCTCTACCTTGTTTATTTTTATTAACTTATTTAGAGACTGTGCTTCTCCCCTCAGAACACAGTGCCCTTGGGCATGTTTTCTCCTTTAAAAACCACGATTCCATTTCTGTCCTCAGCAGTCAGCACAAGACAATATGTATCCATTAGCAATCTACACATCACTGTCATTTTGCAACTGTTTGTTAAGTACTAGAATATCAAAGATATTCTATATCTTCAATATATCAAAGGCTATATCAATATTAATATCAAAGACTAAAATGGAGTCAATACAATTCATTTCACAATTTTGTATGCTGCCCCAACAGTGTGACTTAATTTGAATTGTACATTGAAATATAGCATTAAACTCTAGATTGAACCCCAAGATTCTACACAATAGATAATAAGTAACTAGAAAATATAGATTTACTTTACTGTATTTTTATTTGAAAGTGTTATTATTGTCATCTATTCCTTCTCTTCCCCAAAATCAAGGTACATTTTTCAATTGCGAGTGGCATGTGAATGAAGTAAGTGTGTGTGTATGTATGTGTGTGTCTATCTATAAATCTATGTATGGTATTTTTCTCTAAAATATTCCATATGTGTGGGATTGCATGATTGCTACTCTATTCCAATGCTCTTAGCACAATATTTTAAAATATTGTGTTAAATTCTGTGTCTTTTGGACCTTTGACAAGTAGATCAAAAGCACTTTCCTTTTTTAGTTTCTTTCTTCAGTTAGATTTAAGAGAGGTCCTCAGCAGGAGGACTTTGAATTTTCAAGTGCTGTAGTTAGGAAGTGTTCATTTTCAGAGGAGGACCAACTTGTAAGGCAGCCCATCAGGAGCATTTTTGAACTAGCATTTGATCACATCATCCTGATATCACTGGGTGATATATCAGTAACGAAGAAAGGCTTTCTAACTTCACAGTAAAAGCTTAACAATGGCAGAGTCATTGGGAGTTGGGCGGCATACAAATTCAAAAAAAAAAAAAAAGCAAGTGGTCTTTGGGGGAAAGCTTTAAAAAGAAAGATATTCTAGTAGAAAAAGGCTCCATTCCTTGGGTCATCTTCCCCACATGACAGTCTCCCCATATCCATACTACTGCTTGTTTCCTCCCAAAGCCAAACCATCCAGTGAGTTCTAAAACTTCTGCGGCTGCCACCTATCTTACACATTGCAGCACATCAAAAACAAGGACAACAAGAAGTTCCCTGCAATATTGTTGGCTGATTAAAAGTCAACCTGTGACTGCACATCAGTGAATTTGCACATATGTAACGTTATCTAAAGGCACCAAGAGCTATTCTGTCCAGTGCAGAGAAGACCAAGGTTTGGAATGACAGCTGGTCAGGAGCACCACTAACTTCAAAACGCCATATATGGTAAATATGGCTATTCTGCCTCCCCATTTTCCCCTGCTATTCAGTCCCACCCACCTAGAAAAGAATATGAGTGGTGTGTGGATACTGTTCTAAGCCAGTTAGGTTTGTCAATCAAGTATCCTCCAGGACATGCACAGAGCCAGAAATTTGATTACTTCCTAAAGCCAATAACAACCAACGCAAAGCACATTTGTAAAAGCTGGGAAGGTCAGCATGATTCTTATATTTTTAGTTATCTATATATTTGCCTTCTATTTCTATTCTGATTGGGTTTTAAATTTCTTTTAGGGCTTCCCTTTATAAAGCAACTGATTGTAGGTTTGTATTTTTTAAGTTTTTTTTTTTTTGGTCTGTTCTTTTGTTTCTTTGAGGAATCTTTAGTTATGGACATTAAAAATTCAGTGGCTTTTATTACTTTCCTTACATTTTTTAAAAAAATCTTCATTTGTGGCTTTGTCTATCCTTTGTTAATTTAAAAAAGCTCTGGGCCTTTTGTTGCCTTTTTAATTTAAACTGACCTCTGTACACACCTTTGCACTAATGATGTTATATGTAATTTGTGCTAATGACGTTACATCTAATTGTCTAGTTTGCCTTCTGAACACTACATTGCCAATTTTGCAGACAAATGTAGCTTAGCGGATTGATTTTTAATGTGTAAATCACTCTCCAACCCTGCTTTGTACTTCTTAAAGTAATTTGCCTCAGTTTCCTTTTTTCTGCAATAGGGTTTGTTAGGCTCAGTTAGAAAAAAAGCGGGTCCAAAGAACTGTGTGAATCATCTACCAACCAAACCTTTTCTATGCAATGAGTCATTCCTGTGGATTCAGAAGATTGCTTTGCACGGGTTGAATTTTTGTCATCCTCATCCAATCTTTAATGTGCTTTAAACATTAATATTGCAAACATTTTAAATTTGAGTTATATGACACATTTTTGGATTTAGTAGCCCAAGAAGAAAAAACGGGAGTCATCTGCAACATACAGTGTAAGGACTGTAACAACCACTATGTAGGACAGTCAGGCAGAAGGCTAGAGCGCATCCATGAACACCAACTAGCAGTCAGAAGACATGATGAAAACTCCTTCATCTTACAACACATGGACAGACTTAACCATAGTTTCAGCTAGGAAACTGTCAGCAACTTAGACCAAGCTAAATCCAAAAATGCGAGGGAATTCTTGGAAGCTTGGTATTCAGACAAGGCAGCCATCAACAGGGACATAAACAACATCTACACACTATTCAAAAGAATAAAAAGGAAAACAAAAGACCAGAACATCTCCTCTCCAGCAATCGTCACCCAGATAAGCAGAGATTTACACCAAGATTATCACCAGACATACAATCAGCAGTAAACAATACCCTAATCAAAGAACTACCAGGGGGAAAAAATAAAACAAAACAAAAACCCCACCCCCACCAACACTGGCAGGGGATGCCACTGTATATAAACAGAGAGCAAACCCCATGCCATTCTAGCACTGAAGATGTTACCTAGCCAGGTAACGAAACGTTTGCAAGAAAACAGCCAAGTTCAGAGAACTCCAAGGACTCCACTGACCAATGTTGAGGCAATAGCTCCTCAACACATTCATATTTCTGGAATAAAAAGTGAACCAATTCTCAACATTGATTAAGCTTTGCATTTTTATTTATTTTTTTTATCCGCACTCAATCGTTACTGATTCTATGGTGGCTGCCTGGACAAGCCCCTGCAGTTTTCAAGGCATGGTGTTTCGGAAGTGGTTTGCCAGTGTCTCCTTCCTAGAGCAGAGCCCAGCTGGCAAGCACAGGAGGCAGGGTTTCCGTTGCTTTGCACCTTTTTCAGGCGTGCGCGGCTTCCGCGCTACTGGCAACTGCTCCCAACTCCTTTTGCAAGGCGCCGCCAGCATTTTTCTTCTCACTGGAGTGAGAGTACCCATTTATCTACTCACGTAAGTTTTCGATCTGCTGGGTTGACAGGAGCTGGGGAAGAAACAGGAGCTCACTCTGCTGCGCTGAGCTGGGCTTGAACCACTGAAGTGTCGACTATTTCTGGCTGGCAACTTTCAGCGTCATTAAGCCGCTGTGCCACTGCATCCCTAAGCTTTGCATATGAAAAGTTTAAAATATAAAAATCCAAACCGCTTCTCATTTCTCTCCTTCAGCTTAGTTTGCTTCTCACTTCTCCCCTGAAATTACGATCCTATATATTCCCTTAGCCAGTAGTTGCCCCACTGACATTCTGAAGAGCTCAGAAAATTTTTCATTATTTCATGGCATTTTAGCTAGTCCTAATAAAGAAAGTGATCTGTGGTGAATAAATTGGAGAGCTACTTCTGAACATGCATAGGGCTATAGCATGTGTATACCACTTCTCCAAAAGGTGCTAGGGTGTTTTTTAAATGATAGGGAAATAATCATGACAAAGCCTTTAAAATTGGCTATTATTCTTGTTTCACACAATATTCATGCAAATGATGAAGTGTTATAGCTGCATTTGCACAAGAAAAGGTGTCTCATTTGAAGATTTGCAATGGGATG